CACATGCTACAGTGAAAAAGGAATTCAGAATAAGCCCCCGTGTATTTGATACAGCTAGGATTGTACTGTGTCTACTCTGCATCTTTAACTGTTACCATGGCAGGTTCCAAATTAATAGACTGCAAGATAGAAACATACCTCATTTTCTTGATGTAGGGGTGAGCATCTGTTTCTGCTGAAACATGTAGATAATGTTGTATAACTTGCTTTTCTGTGCCTGCTTGAAATAAACGTGCTCTAAGGAGTGTTATTGATGGTTATGCAGTTGTTATGAAGGTAGCAGAGGACGCAAAAGTCTTTTTCCATTAACATGTTTTTATGGATTGAAAATTTTGGCAGGAACTGGTTCTCATGCAGTCGAACATCTAGCTTCTGTCTAGGTTAATGCAGTTTTGAAGCAGGTTGTCACTGAACATTGAAGAAGGCTTTAAAGAGTATTCTCTGAAATTAATTATCTACTGAGGTGCATTACAAAATTACTTACTTTTAATTAGAAAATTAGAGGATTTATCAGAAAAGTTAATAAAGTGTATGGGGAGTCACAGCTGTAGCTAATCACAAGCCAGTATGCTTGTTTGCAGACAAGGTAACACGAGTGTTAATAAAAGACTTAAGCAATGAAGATTGGAGAAATAATTTCTGGAATATCTTTGTCATTTCACAGCTATGTGAGTTTGCCTGAAGGAACTGGCCTTTTTGGCCCCTTGCTGTAGAGATATTTTTAGTCTGTTTTATTAATTTAATCTTTTTGATCCTAGCTACAGCCTCGGTCATTTTCAGAATTACTGTCCTACAAGCAATAGTTACGTTATTGGAGGAAATAAAAGGGCTGTGTGCAGGTTTTCTTATTTAATGTCATGTGCGTTTGTTAAAAGAGCAGCAAACACTTAAAAAGCCCATGTATAACTATATGTGATTAAATATCATTTATAACTAATGTAAACTATAAATTATAAGTCATTCTTTCAAAATGCAACTTGAGAGAAGCTGCATAAAAAAAGCCTAAGTGTTTGAGCAGCAATATTTTTTATCATGAAAGATTTGTCGTGTATCTGCTTCAGGAACTTCTGCCAATATTGAATGCTCCAGTAATAAAAAGTGTCAAGAGGAGTCGAGTGATGTTTGTGGCAGTGTGGCTAACAAGTCCCCCAAGTAGACTCAGTTATAACAACAAAAGTGTACTCATGCCTGTGTAACTTGTTTTGCATGAGAGATGGGTTAATTTTTACTATATCAGCATAAAACACTCCTTTGCTGTTACAACTCTGACCACTCCAGGAGTGCGCTGATGGTACAGTACAGCCGTGCATCTTGTGTAAACATTAGAGCCTAATCTGAGTTTGAAAAGATGACTGTGCTGACACATCTGCTGTGTGCAGGTACAGGAGCAAATACATTGTACAGAAGAGGCTTTTTATTCTGGCAGGAATGGTATAATGAGAATGACGGGGTGGAAACTTAAGCCAGAAAATTCAAATATGAAATGAGATACACATGTTCGACTGTGAGGGTGATAGGCTTTAGCCAAGCACAGCTTACGGAGCTTAGTACAGAGGGAGCTCAGTGAAACGGTCTGTGATATGCAGAGGGTCAGGTTCTATGATCTAATCATTTCTTCTGGCTGAAATCTCTTCATAAAAAAATCTAGTTCAACCATAATGTATGGCCTAAAGAGAGTAACTGCTGCATGAAATTCATGACTAGCGCTTATACACGGTGCAGTTAGAAGTGTCCCTTCTGGCTTTATAGTCTGTGGATGGATTAATGTGCTAAAGTAGCTTCAGGGTGCAGCACATGCTGGCGTTTAGTGTGACAGGAGCACGTTGGTTGAGTGGAACAGCTGATGATCCAGCGTCCCTGCTCCATGGGGACGATCTTTACTTCGTGCTGGTGCTGGGCTGATCCTGTGGCCTGGACACCTCTGAGCAGGCAGAGCGGGTTAGAGCCCGTGTTGCGGTTTGTGCACACTGTGAGTTCACTGCAGCGTGAACCGAAGCACGGTAAGTGGGGATTAGGAGATTCATTACAAAAGAATGCTCTTGATCCAACAAAAGCCATTAATAGGGACTAATCCTATAGCAGCTTTCACTTGAGAAGCTGTGCCCACGCGTAACACATTTTCATGCTTGTCCAGCGTGTGTGCTCTTCCTTTCCTAGAAATTTTGTTGGAATACAAAACCTTAACTGAGACTGATACTGTAAATGGACCGATGTAGCAGTAAGCCTCACCAGTTGGCTGTTGAGTGATGCGTATTAGCTCAGTGGGGCTGAAGGTGAGGTTTCTTCCTTCAATACAATGATGAAAATGCAGTAGTTGTATGCTGCAGTCATCTTGCAGGCAGAATGTGGGATCACGGAGGCTTTCAGTGAAAAGTTGTGACATGTGGTAGGAAGATAGATTAGCTGTGCGTTTCCTTTTTTCAAAGGTCTTGTAAATGTGAGAGGTGTACCAGAAACGCATTCCTTGTTTTGAACTAAGATAGTACCGCGTGTCGGTTTAGGCAATGGAATATAAATTTATTGTGGTGACAGCTCTGCAGTGGGTTGTTCCAAAGAAGGCAAAGGGTCCCTAGAAGAGCTCCAGATGTTACTGATTTTTTTCTTGTTATAAGCAATTACCGGCTTGGAGTTGTCTAGCAGTTTTTCTTCTTCATAACAAACTGTGGAAGAGTCAGCAGAATCATGACCAACCAGATCCTGAAACTTGCCAGTGGTAAGAACATGTACAAGCTTAAAAAGGGGAAGCGTTTCCAACACCCGCTGATTTGAATTTACTGATTTTTCTTCTTTTAAAGAAGGATTTTTTCCTACAATGTTTGTACTTGACCAATGCCGGTTGTATTCTTCAGAAACTGCAATATTCCTTTAAATGTAATTTTATTGCCTAAGATACTCCTCCATCCCCAAAGTCATATTTTATATTTTAAACTGTTTGTCTTTTAAGATGTATTTATTGCTGTGTTTGTTTAACTTGGTTATCTCCTTCATCAATCTATTTCTTGCTAACTTAAAGCTGCTGCTCTTTGTTTTTGGTACAGAAAGCTGCTTCCCTGGGGATGTATAGGCCAGGACTTGTCTCTGTAATGGGACTATTTGTTTTCTTTGCCCCTTGCAGTTGCCTGCTGTAACATTTGTAGTATGTGTTAAGTAATCCTTGAGGTAACATTTTTATTATGTCATAAAAAGTGCGTGGCAAATATATAATAACTCATGGAATTTGTTTATTTAAAATGGAAGGGTAATTTATTGAGTGTGTTACATGAGACCTGCTCCCCCTTATTAAAGCTGCAGAAGTGCAGCGTATTTAGAAGTATGTTCTATTGAGAAAAACCACGATCTCTGACATGCATAGAAAGTTTGAGCGTGGTTGGGTAGAAGTGACATCATAGTTTATGTACTCAATAAAAATTTAATTAAGTCATTACAGAAGTTGCAGTCATCATTTAACCCTCTGATTTCTTATGTTTAGTTCTTTTTTTTTTAACATTCAGTAATAACCAGTCTCCAAATCTTGATAGCCTGTAAAATATCTGCATCAATTTTAATACTTTATATTAATGGAAAAATATGAGTAACTGACATAAAAGGAATTTTCCTTGTGTTTGCACTATATGCATTTCTATAAAAATCAACAGATGAAAAAAAAAAGTAGTGCTTTAATGGAAGAATATTTGAAACTAATTCGTATTTTGCTAGAAAAGCTGTTGCATAATTACCAGGTACTCTTAGGGGTAGTAAGACAGTGTCTAGGACATGTGGTTCACCATGTCGTAAGGGTGACAAGCTGTACATCAGAGACAGCAGTGCTTTGTTCTATAGTAGAGCTGATGTCCTACCCTGTAGTCCTGTTTGCATTTTCTCTTTTGTAAAGCCTGTCTCCAAGATGCAGTCTCATACAGAAGTGTTGTGCTCGTTAGGATGCAGGTATGAAGATAATTATCCTTGTAATTTATACTGGCATTGTGGGAGGGACCTGTAGGAAAGAGATGGTTAGTATCTCTCGGATCTCTCATGGGAGTCAAAACAAAGAAGAAGCTTTACCAACGGATGTGTAGCTTCACCCTCAGGAGAGGATCTGTTTATTAAATTGTTTCGTTGGTAGAAGTAAAAAGTACAGGCAAAAGGAATGGACTGTGTGAGGGAAACGCGCGCGAGGCGTGGCAGCCAGATCAGTTAATCTCTTGGTTCTGTCTTAAGCTCACATGGGGTCAGTTCTGCAAGCCAATGGGTGGCTTAGGCCAAACCAGCAACTATTTAAACAACTATTAAATTTAGTTAAAAGTCAGTGTGGAACTTGGACTGTCGTGCTTACAGCGTAGGGGGAAGTAGCTGGATCATCACAAGCTCTAAAAGACATTTCAATCATAGTCAAAACCTAGTAAGTCTGAGCTGCTGGTGAGATGCTGTAGAAACAGAATTCATGTGATTCCTGCACAAGAAAGTCAATATTGACAAGCGAGTAAGGAGCAGTGGTGGGGATGGTGCCTCTGTCTTTACCTTGCTTTACCTTATTACTTTTACTGTAATAGCATGTCCAGCTCTGGGGTCCATGCTTTAGAAAAAAGTTGCAAAACCTCTGAGTTTCTAAAGACCTGTGTGAATGAATCAAGGTCTGAAAGCCTGCTTAATAGTTCAAATGCAGAGGAGTCGTCTTTATCTTAGCCTGTGCTGCCACTGAAAGGACAGCCTTGCCTTCACTCTTTTCCCCAGCTGCATTTTTTTCTCCGCTCATGTAGCTCTGTGTCAGTGCTGTCGGCTGAGGATTTTTCTGCCATTCTTATATTCTGAGTGGCACCAACTTTCATTTGTGTTCAGAATTAATGGGGCCGCGTTGCATGTTGTTCTAACCTGTCTGACTGCACTAACATCGTTGCTTACAGA